ATTTTGCCCCAAATAAAACTAACTCACAGCTGTCACACTGTGCATATTTTTAAGCAGACAATTTTGATACTATAGTGGAGAAAAAACAAACATGATCAACTATGTGGAAATCAAAACTATAAGGTGTGGTTAGGTTTGATTTCATATGATTCAGGTTTTTCAGTGCTGCCATTTGATTTCTTTTCCTCATGACACAATAATTTTTAACTCACTCATAAATTTAGCAAAGATTCATGGAAAACCTATAATGGCCAGATAATAAATATACACTTGATAGTATATAAACAGTGATGGATAAACAGACATGTACCTGACTGATAGACATTTATTGATTAAAAAATACAAATGTACAAATGACAATAGTTATGAAGGGAAAGAATTTAATGCCATGAGAGAATATATATGCTTCATTTTGCTAGCAAGACAAAATGGGTGTGTGAGTGCCAGGCCATGGAACTGCACTATTAATCACGGTGCTACCAATTAAGAATTGTGTGACCTTGGGCAGGTTTATTTAATCTAATCTTTCAAAGTAGACTGATAGTCTAAAGTATTCAATAAAATTATAGAGAGGTACTTAATTCTCTTTGATAATTATTAAACAAAACATTGGTTAGGGAAGGCTATTATCTACTCCAGTATTCTGGCCTGGAGAATTCCAGGGACTGTCTAGGCCATAGGGTTGCAAACAGTCAGACATGACTGAGAGACTTTCACTTTCACCAATACTTTAATATATTAGTAGCCAAAAAGCCAAAGAAATAGTTCAGGGCAAGCATTAAAATGTTAACTAATTAAGATCTCCTTGTTTTGGCTTCCAACTTCACTCACAAAGATGAGCCTACTTAATTTAAACTAATATAAAATATTTAAAGGAATTAAAGGATTACTCTTAACTGGGTAATTCATAAAGTACAGTTGACCCTTGAACAATGTAGGAGTTAGTGGTGTCAACCTAGTGCAGTTGAAAAACTGGAATGGCAATCTCTGCCTCAAAAATGAAAGAACTGATAAATGACTCACTAAAGAGAAAGAAGCGGAGGCAATTTGGAGGAATTAGCCATTTAAATCCTAGTTTTTTGACTTTACATGTTTGACATCTAATCAAACACAAACTGCATATAAGTTGATAACTGTAGTTCAGACCTGTGTTGTTCAGGTCAACTGTGCCAAGATTAAAAAAAACAAAAACAAAAAACCTTTTGTATGGGGTTTAGAAAGTTGCTAGTAAGAATGAGGAAAACTATTACACACTATGGTTTTCAGAAGCAAGGTAGAACCAAATCAGAATGTATAGAAACCTGACAAGTGTCGCAAGTGTAATCCCACATAAATAAATGTATGAGGGATTTTAATTAAGCATAAGTAACCTCTGGATTTGTTTCATTTACTTTCTGCTTTATTGACATTTCTTTGAAGTTGCATTATAGTCTCCCCAACTTTTTCTCTTATGTATTTCTGCATACTGAAAGTGCCCTGGTGAAGTAGTGGTATCGAGCCTGCTTTACCAACACTACTGTTGAAAAGTAGACATGTTCTGCAAAATGATTTTAGACTCTATTTACATTCATGTACAAATTCATTTCATACTGGTCTTAGGATCAATGTATTAGTAACTGCTAGAGAAGAAAATTGTACCAAAGGGTATGATTGCAGATATATTAGGACTCTTACTACCGCCCATATAGCATCCTTTCCTGCTCAAACATACCTGAAATTCATTAACAAAAGCACTTGTTCAGATTTCTTTCTGTACTTACAATTAAAATCTAAGGAGCACTAGAAGAGGTGAATATTCATGACATAAACTCACAGAAAGGCATAAATAATGAACAGCCAGAAAGTTCTTTACAGTAGATTGCAACAGAACTAGCTTATCTTAAGGGCCCTTTCATCTGAAAGGGGAGAGAGTAACACAGGGAATAAAAAGTTACAAAAATAGAAAGTGTTTCAAAAAAATCAAAGACTGATATCAGTAAATAAAAATGGTTTTGTCAGAAAAAGATGTGAAACACTAAGAAACAGTAAAGACCATTTTAAAATTATACATTTTCAATATAAAATGTATAAATAACTGCATATTGAAAATATATAAATATACAAATAAACAAATATATATAATATATAAATATACATTTGTTTATAAATGCATGAACAAAATAAATCCCTTTAAACAGATAACTTACTAACTGAAACAAACCATCTAATGACCATTAGACCAAATTAAAAGTATATACAGTCAGTTCTCAGTGTTCACCGTAGTTGAGCTCAGCTAAGTCGCTGAAAACACTGAGTTAGCGAATATTGATTCAGAGCTCCTGGGGAAATACAGGGTTAGGTCCTTGAGAGGTTCTGGTCACAAAATTTTTGTAAACAAATCAGTATTTAGCCTTGCTTTATGTGTGTTTCTGTTTAAAGTCACCTTCACAGATATTCCAATTCATTAACACTGAACTCAGGACCATGTGCTATATAACACATGCCTTAAAAGTCTAACACAAAGATTTTCTCCATGAGGCATATGGACAGTAATGTTTGATACAACTTTAAGCAGAGTAGTGCTTGATATAACTCATATTGTGAGAGTATCATCCTGGCAGTTGTGTGGGTATCAGGATATGTTAGGCAAAAGTAGAGACGTGAAGAACTTACCCGGTTACAAAGCAAGCGGCAATGATCAGAGCAGTGGCGGCAAAAAGGTAAATGTGAAGTGATCGTGCATATAGGATGTCTTGAATACAAAGACAATGGAATATGCTGATGAATTGGCCTTGGAGTTTAAGAGAAAGAGTGGAATCAGAAATATTCCTTGAGTAAATAGTGACATGGAGAATCCTCAGTGACTCAGTGGTAAAGAATCTACCTGCAATCAAGGAAATGCAGGGTTGATCCCTAGGTGAGAAAGAACCCCTGGAGAAGGAAATGGCAATCCACTCCAGTGTTCTTGTCTAGGCAATCCCAGGGACAGAGGAGTCCATGCATTTGCAAAGCGGTTGAATGTGACTTGGTGAGTAAATGACAACAGCAGAATAGTGACATGCTTAAATGTTAAATATTGAAATAGGGAAGACTGAAGATGATTGTATTGGTGTGAGTAAGACTAAACAACCAAAGATGGTGTTACTCAAAGATAAGAGACCTACTAGACAATCAATTATGCCCAGTGTATAAATAAAGGAGGAACAAACATAAGGAAATAAAGAAAAATGAAGAAACGACAGGGAACTGGTGATAACAAATAAAAGATACTATCAAACAAGCTATTATATGACATGACCTTACTTCAGTTTCAAAACATAGTAACAACTTATTCACCCACTTAATCAACAAGGGTTTAGTAAATGACTACCCTGTGTCAAGCATGGTTCTAAGTGCCTGAGGTATAAATATTTCCTATTTGTCCATACATTATCCTATTTTTGGAGAATGCCACTCTTACTACGTTGATATATCGAAACAAACAAAAAAAGAAACAGAAAACCCAAAAATTGCAAACCAGCTAAGCCAGCAATTTCTGCGTCTCAGTTTTTAGATGCATCAAATGAAGGTATTTGCTAACATCACTTTTGTAATAGAAGTTTTTATATTTTATAAAATTTTATAAAACATATATAAATTTTATATTTTATAGAATTTTATAAAACACTGAAGTATTGTTGGAAGACAGTTCTCAATGTTTTCCATAGCACAAAATATGGGGTCATATCTAATGGGGTCATTAGATAATTTTTCAGTGAACCAGTTGTTTCGCTGTAAAAAGTGGGTGAATCCTAAACAATTTTAGTACTCTTTACAACAAAGTAATCTATTTCAATAATGTCTTCAATCCAATAAAAATTTAAAATTTAAATGTGAATCAAATAATCTCAGAACCAAGGCTTCCAAAAATGCAAAGTGGTCAGGGGCATAAACATCTTGATCAAAGGAGAAAAGAGAATTTTTTCATGATTAAAAAGAAATATGCTAAAAATTAAAGGTACAAGCAAAGGGGTAGAGAAGAACCAAAACATATGATATGGAGATTGCAGGTGAGGGAAAGACACGCTCTGGGTTTTCGAGTAAACCCTGCATTCCCCTGGGGTTCCTGCTTTGGGGACTGAGACACCTCACATCACCAATTCAGTGGCAAGTATATCTTGACAGTAAGTGGGGTTCTCGGCAGACTTCTGATCACTCAGACACAGTAAGCAGTACCTCTAATCAGTAAAGAAATAATCTCCAATAATGGCATCTTGATCTCTTCCTGGACCTACTGCCAACACCTCATCATTCCTACCTACTCTGCTTTGGGCTCTCAATTTCTAGCCTGATTCTATAATTTAAGCATACTCAGGAGTTCCAAACAAATTCTCATGTCTCTCAGCTTCTCACCCCTTACTCAGTTCTCACTGTCACACAAAAAGGACTCATTAGCTAGCACAGTAGTTTTGGATGCAGATTTTGCTCCAGGATTCTGACTGGCCTTTGGTTTATTCTGTCCTCATCTAATAATGCAATTCTGGTGCTGATCTCTTCCCCAGTAAATATTTTTGATAAAGTCAAAATCTCCTAAGAATATTTAAATTCCTGTTTTTGATATAAACAATTTTCTACATAATAATAAAAAAGGTGAAAAATGGATTTTTCCCCTAAAGACAACAAAAAAGATGAGCTACCTTTAGCCTCTTAGTTTAGAGGAAAACTAAAAGTTTTTTTTTTTTTTTTTTTAATGGACTCTTCAAGCATTCTTGTGAAACAAATCTGGTCATTTTTCAAAAGAAACTATTTTCAGTACTCCAAACATTTTTAATTCAAAAAGCACAGATAATATAAGCTCACTTTAATCTTCTTGAAAATGTCTGCAATGAGAGGAACAAAGGAAAAAAAAAGTTCTCTCGATCTTGATGTTGCATTTTATAGGCAATCTTTTGCTTCTTCACTGATTCCATAGTTCTTGCCTACTTAAATGCAGTGTCATTTAGGGAGGATGTGCCCCACAAAGGCTGCCTGAAGGACTTTACCTCAAAGGCCTGAAAGATCAGGCCGACGTAGCAGTCTTCTGACACTGCTATTTTCCACACACATTCTTTCATTGGCCTGTAGTCATCAGGATAATTAGGAGACTGAATCTGTCCTTCATTTTTATGTATCTCACCTCCACAGATAGCTGAGGAAAGCAAAAATAAATAAATAAACCTAGACATGCCATTTCATTTCCATTTTCTTCGAAGATAGCACTTTAGTTCAGTGCCTGTAGCTGAACATATAAAGACCAGGTTGTAAAAATCAAGGTTGGCTGGTTGCCAATACTTTTATCAACCAAGTATTTCATTGATTAAAAAAAAAAACCAAAACTAGCCACTTAGCTATAAATATTAGATGACGGTCAGCAAAGGAATATGAGATTTTTTAACCACTGTTAATTCACACCTTTACAAAAACAAGCCTCTTTGTCAGACTTTAAAAAGCGTCTGAGATTTTAAAATTTATTCCATGCAAGTTTGCTCTGTGATCCCCCAAACTGCTTCTTTGGGGCTTTGGCCTCAGTCAGTGGAAGAGATCTTCAGGAGAGAAGCTCCACAGAGCTCCCTGGGCCCCTGGTGTGAGCAGGCTGCATGGGCAACGTCTGTGGCTCCACCCGGGCCACAGCTCCTGTTCTCTTAAAAGTCTAAAAGAAGCACAAACTGTCTGTCTTGTAAACTGCCTAAATTTCTGTGCTGTCAGAGGCAGGAGCAAAAAGGGTCATCTCCACCCATGATCAAGAAGGAAACTGTTTTTAAAGCCAGGAAGCACAATGCCAGTTTACTCTTTTAGAGATATATAGAACAAAGCAGCTGGTAAATTCTTCTTGAATGCTGACTCTCTCATTTAGACAAAGCAATCTCCAGAACTGTGCACAGTTATTTTCTGTGCAGTTTCCTTTAACAGGACATTTCTGCAATACAGGTAGAAAATACAAACTCAGTACAAAGAGAAGTGGTAATTTCTTCATAATATTTTAATATTATTCTGAAAAAACAATCAAAGTTTAAGAATCCTGTGCCATTTGATTGCTGTTTTCCACACATCTCTAATGAGTTATTTTCCCCCACACATCCCTGATGAGAACATTTATATATTACCACATTACTGGTACCAGAAAACAGGTTATTTTTGCAATTAAACTTACTATTTTTATTAAAATCATCCCATGGACATCATAATGCAATTTAGAAAATCAAATAATTAAAAATTGCATAATTAAAATACAATTACAATACTATTCAAATGAAATTGAAAGCACATCTTTTTAAAGAGGTCTAAGGAAAAGCCATCTCTAAACTCAAAGTCACTTGCCTTCATAGACTGCTGCAAAGCCCTTTCCTACCCAATTGCTGCTGCTGCGAAACTCAATCCACATTCTGCTTTCTGTAGAGGTAAGAACTTCAGGCAATTTGTCCCCACAGAATCTACCTAAAAGAGATAAAAGAATAAAGAGAGACTTCTGAATATGACTTTATATTCTAACTGGTTTTCATACTAGCTACAAATTACATACATAAAACCAGATTTGGTTCTTATCACCATGCTTAGTAACTACAGCCATAGCTATTAATCCTTAATATTTACTTAATAAAAGTATATAAGTAAAACTATCTGTTCTTATTTATTTATAGAATATTGGAACATATCACCCTTAGATTAAATGACTGATACCACTACCACTATCTGTAGAATTAGGAAACAGCTAGCTCAAAACATCTATTTGTAAAAGGACACACAATGCATCAAGGTAGGGAATGTTATTCCACAGAGAAGAGAAAAAACCTCAAGTGATCCTGAAAAACTACTTTAATTGTCAGTGTGGTCATTAGTTGGGGAGTGACAGCTCAAGTGTAGTTCTTTGTTTAGCCAAGTTCAGTGGCAATTTATCATAGAAACCTACGGGCTGCCTAAGGATCTTATGTTACTACATCCATCCCATCTCATCTATAAAGCTATAGCACGTAGTGCAGTAGAATGGCAAGCAGTATTAGAAGACTTGAGTATGAGTTTTGATATTTTTCTGATTGTGTACCCATAGGCAAGCATAATATTGAATGCATATAATAATAACTGTCATTCCTTCTTCCCTCCATTTACCCTCTGCAAATATTCATTGCTTACTGTATGTTTGCTCTTGTGCTCAAAGATTTCATTTTGATGGTAAAAAGTTAAATATGATAATACACATGAAATAATTCTACAAATAATAATACATTGTCATTCATTTTTGTGTACCCTTGCTAATGATTTCATACATAGTCTTAGTATATGAAAAAAGTCAAAACCCATTTATACTAACAGCTAACAGGTAAAAAAAAATGTCTTCCTAAATGGTATTAGGGGCATGTATTAAAAACTTAGGGCCACGTAAAAGAGAACAATGTCTCTAATACTGTAATGTGTAGGAAAGGGAGGGGGAGAAAGATAAATTAGGAGTATGAGATTAACAGATGTGGGTGCAGGCTAAATTGCTTCAGTTGTGTCCGACTCTTTGTGACTGTATGGACTGTAGCCTGCCAGGCTCCTCTGACCATGGGAATTCTCCAGGTGAGAATACTGGAGTGGGTTGCCATGCCCTCCTCCAGGGGATCTTTCCCATCCAGGGATCGAACCGATGTCTCCTCTGACTCCTGCATTGCAGGCAGGTTTTTTACCACTGAGCCACTGGGGAAGCCCATGAGGTTAACAGATATGCACTATTATAATATAAAATAGACAAACAAAGCTTTACTGCATAGCACAGGGAACTATATTCAACACTTTGCAATAACCCATAATGGAACATAATCTGTAAAAAGAATATGTGTGTGTGTAGATAGATAGATAGATAGATATTGGCTTTGCATTCCCTGGTGGCTCAGTGGTAAAGAGTCTGCCTCCAGTACAGGAACTTCAGGAGATGTGGGTTCGATCCCTGGGTCGGGAAGATCCCCTGGAGGAGGAAATGGCAACCCACTCCAGTATTCTTGCCTGGAGAATCCAACGGACAGTGTCCATGAAATTCTCCAGGCAAGAATACTGGAGTGGGTTGCCATGCCCTTCTCCAGGGAATCTTCCCCATCCAGGGATCGAACCCAGGTCTCCTGTGACTCCTGCATTGCAGGCAGGTTTTTTACCACTGAGCCACTGGGGAAGCCCATGAGGTTAACAGATACGCACTATTATAACATAAAATAGACAAACAAAGCTTTACTGCATAGCACAGGGAACTAGATTCAACACTTTGCAATAACCCATAATGGAACATAATCTGTAAAAAGAATATGTATGTGTGTAGATAGATAGATAGATAGATATTGGCTTTGCATTCCCTGGTGGCTCAGTGGTAAAGAGTCTGCCTCCAGTACAGGAACTTCAGATGTGGGCTCGATCCCTGGGTCGGGAAGATCCCCTGGAGGAGGAAATGGCAACCCACTCCAGTATTCTTGCCTGGAGAATCCAACGGACTGAGGAACCTGGTGGGCTGCAGTCCATGGGGTCACAAAGAGTCAGACATGACTGAAGCGACTTAGTGTATATATATATGCATATATATATATATATATATATATATATACACACACACACACACACACACATATATAGGTATGAATCACTTTGCTATACACATGAAACTAATACAATACTATAAATCAACTGTACTTCAATTTTATTTCAATTCTGAATAAAGGAAGCTGGAAGATAGCAACTGACTAAAAGAGAAAAAGCTGTAATTCACATGAATTGCCAGAGTGTCTGCTAAAATGCAGTCTGTTTCAGAAGGTATGGAGTAGAACCTGCATTTCTATGTTTCTAACACCCAGGTGACTCTGGGGCTGCCAATGTGATGGCCACACTCTGAGGAGCAAGGTCTCAGAGGAAACAGTGGGGAAAGCTTTCCATGTGGACACTGTGGTCAGACTGAACCAGTGTGTTAGGCTATTATACCCTGCAGTATGTAATGCTGATGGTGCTGTAAAAAACTGTTCTCAGTATTCAGCTTTAGATTTGATTTTTCAATATGAATTTAATAAAATGTTTTATTAGGAACACACATACATATCAATATATTATAAACAGATTCATCTAGGCTAAGAAACTGGGGTTTCCCAGGTGGCCCAGTGGTAAAGAATCCTCTTTTGCCCATGCAGGTGACACGAGTTCAGTCCCTGGATTGGGCAGATCTCCTGCAGAAGGAAATGGTAGCCCACTCCAGTATTCTTGCCCCGGAAATCCCATGGACAGAGGAGCCTGGCAGTGGGATCAGAGACTCAGAGAGGACTTTGCAACTGAAGATCAACAGCAACTACAAGGCTAAGAAACTAACTGTTCAAGACAATGTTTCCTCAACCTGACATTGAATTAGTAAAATCTTTATGTTTCCTTAGTTTTAAGCATTTCTACAGATCTCTTGAATTTACTAAGGTTGCTGTCACTTTTAATACAAATGTGTCCGTTCAGCAGGTTTTAGATGTTAAGAAGAAAAGATCTGTAGGCACTTAAAAACAACTGAGCAAAGTCACTTCTAAAAATAGAAGAGAAAGTTACAATTTCAAAAAAAGAAAAATCAATAGAGTAGACACAGGCTCACAGCAGTTCTCACCCTAAACTGAAACAGAGGGCAATGGAAAGTGCCTCATGTAAGTGATGTGTGGTCTGTGGTTAAACGTTGGTAGGATACTTTGATGTGCACCGAATTTGAGCTACAATTTATGACACAAACTACATACACACCTTCTAAGCCACAAAAATGTGAGAGGCAAAACTGTGACGTCTACAGAAAGAACCAATATTTTTGGTGCAGGAAGCCAGCAGCTGAACGTGTACCTAACACCCCATGCTCTTCTGCCTTAGCAAAGAAAGAAAAACAAAACCTATACACATATACACACAAACGCACAACTTCTCTGGTTTACCCATTAGAACTTTGATTTCAAAATTAAAAATATAGAATATGTGATGAGTATTCACTATAAGCTATTCTAAATCATCATGTTCAGATCCAAGCACCATCTCATAATTGAAGCTGGTTTAAATTAATCACCAGCCCAGATCACCAGCCCTGGTTGGATGCATGAGACAAGTGCTCAGGGCTGGTGCACTGGGAAGACCCAGAGGGATGGGATAGGGAGGGAGGTGGGAGGCGGGATCGGGATGGGGAACACATGTAAATCCATGGCTGATTCATGTCAATGTATGGCAAAAAGCACTACAATACTGTAAAGTAATTAGCTCCAACTAATAAAAATAAATGAAAAAAAAAATAAATTAATCTATTGTCTATATGTAAGTAGTTTTGCTATGATTTAAAAAAGTATAATAAAAATTAAAATACTGGTCTCATGTACCTTAAACCCTAAGGTGACTCTTGAAAGAATTGTCTCTGGATAAGACAGACTATATATAGACATGTAAAAACCAAAAAAAAAAAACAAAACAAAAACATAAAACTCTTACCAAGGAGAGGCGATTTCCTCCAGTACCCATCTCTTACTTCAATATAATCATACCAGCACAAACTACTTTTGTATAGGTCCATTGTAGTAAAATTTAAAACAATCTGCAAAATGGAAAAAAGAATACACAGATTAAAAATGATTATAATTTCATATGGCTAGGAACCCAGATCTACTGTGAAAACAGACTAATAGCAAATTCTTTTTTTCTTCCTATATTAGTATCTAATATTTTTTCTTTAATAAAACATAAAAAAAACCCAACCCATTTTCCCAATTTAATGTCTAACAATTTAGAAGCACAATGCCAATAAATAAACATTTCAGCAATTAAACCAAAGCTTCTGTAAAGTTAATTGAACAATTGTGAGATGAGAAATCTTTATTCAAACATTTTATTTTGAATTTTCTTAGATAAACATGACTATGAAAAGTTCTGATTTTGTTACGACTGTCTTTTAATAATTTATTTCAGACATCTACAATTATGTTAAAATAACCGCCATGTGCCATATTCCGGGAATATAATATCATTGTGTACTTGAAATGTTTTAAATGCAGCTTTAGAATTAAAATTTCTCCATATAACTATAATCAAAGACAGATGTCACCATGCTTCTCTAAATTCAAGAATATATATTCAAAGACCTTTTAAGTTAGAAGACCTTGTACATGACATTTTATTTTGTACTTTGCTTTGAAATGTTACTTTTCAAGATAACTCAAGGATAACTCAAGGAAAGACAGTTTTCTTACTGCTTTACAAAAAGACTTTACTTTTCAGATAATTAACAGTTTTTTCAGTTGATTACACCAAAAAGTAGAGGAAAACTAACAAAAGAAATGCATATATCTGATGAGGTAAAATATACTTGAACAATACTTTTTTCATTGAAAAACTCATTCTAAGTCTATTCTGCTAATAATATCTAAGATGCTTAGGGTGTATAGTGAATGTGTTTTTTACTCTAGAAATCAAAATGGACTTTGGCTAAAAGTAAAAAATTATGAATGTTTGAAATACTTCTAGGATAAAAGTATAGTTTCTAACTGCATAAGCAGAATGTTTTTGTGACAATATAAAATCTGAATATAAGAAGACTTAAGCAAATGAAAAAAATAATGAGTTTTGAATTCATATTTGCTAAAAGTACTACCATTCTTGTGTTAGAAAGCTTATACTTATTTTTGAGCATACTGTTTAACAGAAAGGAAGTACGAACTGTTTCAAGCAATTCTGAACTAATTTACTTCTTCCTATAATGAAGATGGAAACAGTGAGAGACTTTATTTTCTTGGCCTCCAAAATCACTGCAGATGGTGACTGCAGCCATGAAATTGGAAGACATTTGCTCCTTGGAAGAAAAGGTATGACAAACCTAGACAGCATATTAAAAAACAGACATTAACTAGCTGTCAAAGGTCCATCCAGTCAAAGCTATGGTGTTTCCAGTAGTCATGTATGAATGTGAGAGTTGGACCATAAAGAAAGTTGAGAGTCAAAGAATTGATGCTTTTGAACTGTGGTGTTGGAGAAGACTCTTGAAGAGTCTCTTGGACTGCAAGGGGATCCAACCAGTCCATCCTAAAGGA